AAGGTCTGTTGCCTACTATTCTTCTCCTTCAGGTTATTTCTTTTCCTTTACCTCACTGTTTCCTTACCCTTGTCCTGGTTCCTCTTAATCATTTCTCACCTCTTCCTACATTATATATTGCAACAGCACAAAATCAGCAGCACCTACAGATACCCTGAAATATTCTGTATAGATCAAATGTCTATCACTGCTTACTAACGTGAGTGTAAATAAACATCTCACAACAAATAATATTCTGTATTAAGCTTTTCAACATAATTAGAATACTGAAGTTACTTTGTTTTTGGTTTTGCTTTTTCCTTTTTGTTTTGTTTGGTGTTTGTTTGTTTGTTTGTTTTTTAGACAGGGTCTCCCTGCAGCCCAATTTGACCTAGAACTCACTATGTAGACCAGGCTGGCCTCAGTCTCAGATCTCACAGCGATCCACCTGCCTCTGCCTCCTAAGCACTAAAATTAAAAGCTTGGGTACCAAGCCGAGCACTTCCTGTTTTTACTGATTCTTACTCGTCTCCTACTCCCACTCCCACCTCCTTGGAAAAATACATAGCTCTGACTAAAAGATGGCAAATGCCAGTTTAGAATGATTTTATAAAAAGTATTGGTCTGCTTTGACATATTCAATAGTCAACGATATATATCAAATGTTCTGATTTCTCCACATAACATTTCATAGATTTTTAGGCAAAAGGGAACTTTTCAGACATCAGTCAGCTATTAAAATGAATTTTAGTTTTATTGATCTCAGTAGATTTTGAAAACATGATCAGTGGCAATTATTAGCAAAAGGAACAGGATAAAAAATTATTAAAATGCTCCACTAAAAATAGTTTGAGTCCAAATAACACTTTTTTTTTTTCCTTCTCACCAAAATATCATTCCAGGAAGACCAACAACAACTTTATGTCATGGCAAATACACTAGAAGATGGCGACATGACACCTCAGTTGGCAGAGGTAATTAAAAGACTCTGGGGAGACCCAGGAATCCAAGCCTGCTTTGAAAGGGCATCTGAATACCAGCTCAATGACTCAGCAGCTTAGTAAGTAACTTTGCTTGAACAAGAATACAGATGAAACGCTTACAGATTTATAATTTATCACACTGTGCATTTGTAAACACACGTAGTGAAAGTAAATGGCTTTGCATTTTAGTATAGAAAAACTAAGAGGAAGAGGCAATTGAAAGAAAATGAAACAATTTGCCTTGGAAGATATATATGTTAAGCATAACTTAACATTAATGAAAACGAATTAACCATCATGCACAATCCTTAACATTAACACAGGCAGATGGTGTACACACTAACATTTAGGGAGATATCATATATCTAATGTTATGAAATCATCTCTTAGAATAATTTTATTAGTGACACCTGCGGTTTTTTTTGTTTTCTTTTTTCTTTTCTTTTCTTTTCTTTTCTTTTCTTTTCTTTTCTTTTCTTTTCTTTTCTTTTTGTCTGTTTTTGACACAGTATCTCCCTGTAGCTCTAGCTGGCCTGGAACTTGCTAGGTAGACCAGGCTGGCCTTGAACTCACAGAGATTCACCTGCCTCTGCCTCTATAGTGCTGAGATTAAAGGTGTGTGCCACCATGCCCTGCCTAGTGACACATGCTTTAACTCACTGGATTGATGAGCAATATATATAATTTTGAAAATCAATAGTCTGTTTCTAGACCTTTTGTTTATTGTGAGATCCAGTTGTAGTTAACCAGAGTTAATATTGTCTAGTAAGCATCTAAAAGCCATAACAAATTCAGGACTGTATAATGCTACTTACAATTTAATTACCAACATAATTCGCAAGTGGTTCTTATCTTTCCAGCCTGATGCTACAGATTTTTGAACAGTGATGACCTACGATGCAAAAGTTGTTGTTTCAAAGAAATAATATTTCAGTGGCTGTAGAGATAGCTCAGCAGTTATTAGCACTGGGTGCCCTTGCAGAAGACCTGGGTTTAATTCCCAGCACCCCCATGGCAGCTAACAGCCATCCATAGCTCCAGTTCCAGGGGATCCAATGCCTTCTACTAACCTCCATGAACGTTGTACAACACAGGTGCACTTACATACATACAGGCAATGCAGTCATATACATAAACTGAAAAAAAAATTAAAAAATTTTTAAAAATAAAAACATTTCATTGATAGTATGATTGTGCAGAGGAAAAAATATGAATTAGTAGCAGGAAGCAGTCTTCTATAATCCTCAATCATACATTGCTAACCTAAACTAAGTTCCATTGAGACCATTGTTTTTGGAAGACAGCATTTACGTCTATCTCTTGGACAAATGAAAGCTAGATGACATTCTATGACTACCTAAGCTTGATAACCACTTTCTCAAGGATCTCAGTGTCTACCACATTCTTATATTAAAAAGCATGCCAGTGTTATAAAGTATTGCTTACTCACATTAATCACTGAAAGTGAGACATTAACTAACACAATATTCCACCAAAATGTTGCTCAGTAAACTTCCGGAAGAAGGGATAGAAGGATAGGTATGTAGGTATGATCAAGACAGAATTATATATTTAATATTTTGTTTGAATTACATATTGATTAATTCTTATATTTCCAATATTATAAGAAATTAACTTGCAATTATATTGCCATTTTGCTTACCTCATTATTTGTCCTTTGAGAGCAGAAAACAATTTGCAACTCACATAATTAAAGCGCATAAATGAAATGACATTTTATTGAATTTTGTAGGTTATAGTTTTGGTTGAATACTTAATATCTTTTCCTAATAAATTCAGCTAGGAATATTTACTGGTCTTTAAGTTAAATACAATTAAAATCTATTTGCATTGATTTTGTGAGTCCTTCCTATATTGTAATAGTTTTTGACTACCTAGTTAATTTTGTACAGCAGTAAAATGTAGGAAAACTCATTTCTTCTCCATATCTTAGAAACACTTTATGTAATATAAATTTTAACTTTTTATCTCTTAAGTATTCTTAAAGACAAACTAAATAAAAGCCTGCTTTTAAAAAATTCAGAATGACCATGACTTTCTACCAAATATAAAAAGCAGATCTTTTTTCAAATATTGAGTTAAATTCCTATTGTACACTTAATTTTCAAATCTGATTGAGACTGTATTAAACATATATTTATTTATTTTTTATTATATAGAACATAGTCTCTAGCATTTTATTGTTTTAATTTTTTTCAGTGAAAGTAAGAAACTTGTAATTTTTTCAATCTAGAAATTCTCCCAGTTGAAGCTGCTAGAAGAGTAATGTCATACAGCAAGACTATCTCTGAAAGTGGTGGCACATGCCTACCATCACAGTACTTGGGATATGGAAGCAGAAGGGTAGAGTGAGCTAAATAATGAGACCCTCTCAGAAAAAAAAAAAAAAAAAAAAAAAAAAAAAAAAAAGTAATGTCAGCAGTGAGATACCAGTACTTACAAAGGAAAGAGGAAAGACTTAGTTAAGACTGCATGGTCTACTAATTCAGGCCATCTAGCGTGCTATTTAAATTCTGAATGCTTTAAGAATAAATGAAGATTTGTCAGGAAAAAGCATTATCTTATGATGAGTAGACATAAATGACAAAGTATTTTTAAGTGATTTGAGTCATCTGTATTTCAGGCCTCTGTTTTACATTCAAACAGCAGATTTGAACATCCAAATCCCATATTTGTTTATTAAAATAAGCACTTTAAATGAAAACTGGACAGTTTGCTAATGCTTATCCTTCACCTGAAATAATTTGCACATGCAAAAACTGCATTAAAATGTGTCTTAACTAAAGCGTTCACTAAAAGGAACTTAATTTCTATTTTGATAAATATATTTACCTATTTTTTGCTCAAGCATAAACAACTGACCTTATCACACATCTGACCGTCTCAAGAGGAAATTCACAGATTAGCTCAAGAAAAGGTTAATAAATTTTAAAACTAATAAAACCTGCCAATATTTTCTTTAATATTTTTTATCTTGAGTCATCACTCTTTTCAAAGAAAACATTATTTATTAGCATAAAACAATGGTTATAATTTTCATATTATAAAGTTTCTGAGATTTTATTTTCTTTTTGCCTTTGACCAAAATCTGAGTACATTTGCCCTTTCTTAGTTCTTTCAACTTAAAAGAAAATATTACTGTAAAATAAATTAGTTGAATTGCTACTGAATATATATTTAATGATAAAACAACATTTTAAAGTCAGTATTCTATATACTGAGGTATAAGAACTTAAACTTTCAGCAAATTTCAACTTACAGTTACTAACATTCAGTGGACTCTTCTCCTGAAATTCTGTCTCCATGAAAGCGTGTCAACCTTTGTCTTTCATTAAACTATATATGTAAGTTTGGTTCAATGTGATGTTCAAATCTGGCATGAAAATATCACTGTGCTATTACTATTTGTATTTAAATTTGTCACAGAAATTGCCATCTTAAGCTACTGAAAAAAACATTTAATTCATTTGCAGATATTACTTGGTTGCAAGTTCCTCTAACCTAACAGATTATGTAATACATAGTTTAATCTGGGTTATTCCTGCCCATCACTGCCCCTTAGATACTGTGAGCACTAAAAAAAAAAAAAAAAAAACAAAAAACAAAAACTAAAAGAAAAAACAAACAGTATTCAGTCTGATAATAACAGGAATCCTTCTGGAATGGAAAAACTCATCAGCATGCACTGCTGGAACAGGACGTGTGTACAGTGAGTGAGCTCTGCTTTTTCTCCCCCAAAGAATTGACTTCATGAGCTAGATATAATAAGAACCTGCAAGAAAGGCCTAGGAACTTTCACTGAGTCATGAGAATTTCATCATAGCTCTTAAAAGAAATGGCTGAGTTCTAAACTAAGCAACCCATGCAAAGATACCTAAACAACAAGAAAGTCATATATTATGATATTAAAATCAACCGCCCTCCGAAATGCTTAAGCGAATCATTAGTATTGAAGGAGGTTTTAGGAACTTGTAGCAATGGTCATTACAAACATTGATTATTCACACACACACACGCGTGCGCACACACACACAAATAAGGCAGCCTGCATGAAGAAATTTCCTTCCATGCTCCTATTTACATGCGAACGAGTTTGTTATATAGCCGTCACCCATCATAGGCTAATGCAATCATGGTGACTTCCTCAGAAGACATCTCTAGGAACTAGTTGTGGGCCACATGCTTTAGCAGAGGTTTCCCAGCTGCCACACTCCTGTCATTATAATGTACAGCGTTTGAACAACGCCAAGCTGGAGTTTGGTTGCCAGTGGACTCTAAAAATGTACTTTACTAAAATGCAGCACCTTCCAATGTAAAATAAAATATGTGAATATATGCCCTTTCTTTTTGTTTTTATTAGCTACCTTAATGATTTAGATAGAATAACAGCTCCTGGGTATGTGCCTAATGAGCAAGATGTTCTGCATTCCCGAGTGAAAACAACTGGAATCATTGAAACGCAGTTCTCCTTTAAAGATTTAAACTTCAGGTATGAACAAATACATCTTCTAAATGTGTACAGAAGCATGCATCTGGTCAATATTTCTTTGTGGAGAAATGCTATAACCCACAGTCAGGTGCAATGACTCTGGAACTTGCTGCCCTTCTTTCCCGCACTTCTCCCACCTAATGCTGAACCTAGTCCTTCCTACCAGGTTACAGGGATTGAGCAGGTGGTATCCAGAGTCCATTTCCTCATACTTAAATTTGACATTTTACTTTGGATTTTTTAAGGAAATACGTTTAAATATCATTTAAGCAACAGGTGTCAGGGATCCCTTTTCCCTTGCCCTCTTACTATTCCATTTGCTGAAACTTTTCCTTAAATCTGTTACCTTAACTTAAAATGCAAATATTTAAAAGTCAATTATTTAAACGTGATACTGTTTACAAGAATCACAAGGTGTGTTTTATCAGTGTGTTTTGGGTATGAAAATGAATCCTTATTATATTGCATTGGCAAAGCTGCCTGGAGATTGTACTGCCAAATTACCTTTTGTATATATTAAGAAATGGAAATCAATCATACAGTGTTAAACATTATCTCCTGATGTGAACAACTTTCACATATATGTATACACACACAAATTTTATATAT